ACACTGACATCCCACGGCACTTAGACGTTACCTAATCTATTATCAAACAGACGCATGCTGCATATTACGCAGTATAGGTGATGTTGCTTGACCGAGCTATCACATCTACTCTATCGAGCTGAAGCCTCAGGCCTGTCAGCATTGCCATTTCCATAACTGCCTCTCTCTTCCAATGCACTATATGAATATGAATTTCCCCACCAGCCCCAAACCTTGCCCTCCTGATAGGATGCCCCTAGTAGGTATCGTAAGTACAACGGCAGTACGTCCCTGGCCAGGGTTGCGCCACAAGGCGACAGTATTTGGAATACCTACATATGTACATGTAGGTTGGCTCTCAAATTTTACCAATAGCCCGGTATACCCGTGCCGGCATTTGAAAACATGAAATCAAATTGACGCAGTGCTATTGCATACACTAGCTGACAAGCGCGTACTACCTTGCATCTATGCTCAGTCTTCTCAGTCCCGCTCATTATACGGTATTAAAGAGACCATTATGGGGCGTTCGTTGTAGGCGTCAAGATCAGACGTTTCATCCCGCAACGGTTCGAGCGTTCAGGCCATACTCCATAATAGATAATAATTAATTACATACTACAGTAACCCGCCATGGGGTTCCTACCGAGGTACTGGACTGTACCTGCCCCTCATTTCCCGCCTATTGTCTGGCTTGTTTCACGCATGCCGTTGAAACATTGCCAAACATAAAGGGTAGGCCCGTAGACGGCGGCCGTGGATTGCCCCCCGGTATTTCGCTTGCTTGCCTGCATGCACACGCCGACTTTCCCATCCAGGCGGCTGCTGATACAGCCCTGTCTGTACTTTACCTACCAACAAGTTTTTTCAACACCCGCCATGGTAAAACCGAGCGCCCAACCGCTCCGGATACCGGCAACACAAAACTATGCAAAATAAAATTGAATTGTTATCACGCACTGCAGCGTATCAGCCATTGATACTCTGCTGTGGCAGTGCCCCCAGGTCAGGTACTATTTATTCACCTTCAGGTGGTTGGGCACACCGGCAGATCGTCAGATCGTCATGCCGTCACGGTAGTGCTGGTTGGTCAGACCGACCGATAGTTGCATTGCGTTGCAGTGGCACCAACACCAGCCTTCTTGTTCCCAGAGCAGAGCAGAGCAGAGCAAAATACTGAGTGAGGCTTTGGACCACGGGTGTGTTATATCGTATCAACCCGACATCTCTTGCGTTCTTCATCTCCTGTCTTCCGAGAAACCCCCAGTATCATCTAGAGCCAAATCGGGGAAAAGGTGTTCATGACTGGCTTTCATCATCAACATCATCATCACTTATCGCGAGGTCAATAATACGCAGTATTCGAATCCCACGTTGGAGTGGCGGTCCCCCTGCCTTCGGGCGCCACTTGATTACCCGCCTTCTCCATGTAGCTGTATGTGTATTAGATCACGATTACCCCGGCATGTTGTATGTAGGTAGATAGCCTACTTGACTATACGCTGACACGGATACTTCATACTCACACGTTACCGCCAGCGCCAGCGTCAGCGCCTCGCCCCCAACACAGAAACTCCGACGACCCACCTTGAGTGACAATGACCTGCATTTCAATGGCACGATATTTGACTGAATGTATCTGTCGCGGTGCTACCTTCCCTGTGTCGCAGCTTGAGGCCCGTGGTACTTGTTAAGCGCTTGATGGCCCTCGACAACGGGCCTTCAAGTTTGCATTATCGATGTCTTCGCTCACCCTCGGGCGTATGTATACCTACTTTGTACACTATTTCCAATTTATTGCTTCCCATGTATGCGTAGTGTTAAGGGAGCCGGAGCCGGTACCTCCACAGCTTATGGCGCCACATATCAGTCTCATTGGCGAACCTACTTTGCTCGATATTCAATATTTACAAGGTATAAGATCCCTCACATCAAATGCCACTCACACTCCGATCATCCTGGCTGTGTGACCGGGATGATGTCACGCATATACTGACTTACGGACGGAGTATGTATGTATGTACATCGATGGCTCCAGGGATCTGAGATTGTCCGTCTGAAATACAAACATGGGTGAACATCCATACATACAGGTGCTTGGATTTGCATGTCAGATTCACATGTCATGGAAAGCTGATTTCCCCCGGGGACGTGAAATATGGCTTAGAGTAGCTGACTTCTACCGCTGGATGAGGGACTCCGTGAATTATCAGTCATTCAAGGCAGGATTTTACACAGCGGTGCACTTAAGGATCTGATTGATTTGTGTCGCTTGGCTTGAAGTCCGAAGCGTGGCGCTCTCATGGTTGATGTTGACCCTAGCCTGAAGGAATTTTGAATCTCAGATGTTTCAAATCAAGCTATTTGAAGAAGTTCATGATATGATAACTACGACTAAAGTACATACGTATCTACTCAAAAGCTTGTAGGTATAGATCGCCATAGAGGTCTCTCTCCTGGCCAGCCAATGTTTATGGACTCGGCAACATCGTTTGTTCATGAATAAAGTAACGCATACCAAGCTTGTCTGTCGGTCATTCGCTCTTGATGGCAATCCGGGGGGATTTGAAAGCTCAAGAAGGCTATTGACACGTCTACGTTTCAACTTTGGTAGGAACACCAGAAACAACATACTGCACCTCGACAAACAATATGGGAGAAAATATTTTCCTCGCTAAATCTTCCTAGCACAGCTAGTAAGCCTAATAAATTTTCTATCATGGTCAGCCATAAAATAATCGTCTTTGGCTTGAGATGGAACGATTAGACAGACTCATTGCTCTCTGTCATGCTAGCAGGAATACGCAGGCAGTCTTATATACACATAACGCAGCAGTAACACTGCAATTTCGGGTTCATATAAATAAGTTGCTTAGATATACGAATCCTAGGTGGTGAAGTCAGCAGCTTTGCAAACAGGAATGAGCATACAAGGCAGGATTAGCCCTATGTATTGACCCAGACGCCTCCAGGAAAAAGCAATAATCCCCCTCGTTTTCATACTCGATCCTTCTACGTGGCTCCGGCGCCCGGAATGTCTAACAATATTTGAGTATCTATCACCAAAGAGCTTGCGAACGCTGCTCTGATGTGACACTAGTCCACATGCATACATCACTTGCTTCCATTCTTGATGTGTTTCGAGCAGAAAGACCATCCTACATCTCGACGTATCTTGCTACTGTTAATTTGAAGTTTGATGCTGAGGGCCAAACTTCGAAGAAAAAAAAACAGCCAATAGCATTTGTGTCGACTCGGTCAGGCTACTCGCAGGTGGAGGGGAAAACGGATAATACTGTGTATTCTAACATTGGCTATATGAATCCACGGAGAGCGACTAGAGAAGTAAACATATGCAAAAGGGTGCCATCTCCTCATAGCTAGACCATGCAGTGCCTCACCATCGCCCCAGCAGCCCCCATCCTTGCGCTCTTCCTTTCGTTCTCGTCGCCTTCAGTACACCGCCTCATCATATCTATGAGAAGGGTTAGGCTAGGGGGCGCGGGCATCAATAGACCGAGAAAGGTTTGCTTCAAAACCTCGATTCAATGAATAATACGCAAGGGGTTGAGAATTCCAACACTCATTAACTGGCTTGGAGGCATGTTGTAGAGATTGTGGAATTACTACGGTACAAGGCTGCATATAGCGACACCCATCACCATGATGATTTGTATATTCAGTGACTTGGTCTCTATTCCTCGGTGCAGATAAAACGTCTGAGAGCAGAAAGCTACGAGCACTCTTATGTAAATAGCGAGTAGAGCTTCGAGCGATGTCCCGTGTCAACAATAATAGTTTTAGCATGGTGGCGGGGCGAGCCCAGTATATATATGTGTGCATGTCTTCTGGGCCTTTCCCTCTAAGCTCTGCGCATAATCCCCATGAGAAAATTTTGCACCACTGACTTTATGTTGACGAAACTTCCTTTGCCGTTCCGGCAGGAATGATGCGGTCGCCTATAGCAGACTAGCTAGATAATTAGTGAGTGGCTGTTAGAAGGGCGAATAGGAGGAAAGAGCACGTACGACCTCAACGATGGTAATTCAAAGCAGGCATGGGATATAGTCGACCGCCATCACAGCAACGGCAACAGGGTCACTGGGTAGCTGAAGCCAAGCGACCTTCGCGATGGCACGTCTGAGTCAGAGCCCAAATGCCACATGATGTTAACTTTCGCGCGGCCACTTCGTCATGTCATCAGGGACCTGGGTGGGTGGGTATATGGCTGGCTCAAGTAGTAGATTCCGCTTCGCCTTCACTGTTATCGCCCATGCCAGCAGCAGCAGCAGCAGCAGCAGCAGCGTCATCCTTTCGCGCGTTGGCGATCCGCCGCTGGTCTGCGGCCGAGAACATGGAAGTGCCCTGCTGCAACGAGTTGATGAGCATCGGCAACGCATCGCCCTTAAAATCGTCGGCGCTGCGGATCTTGTCCAGGTCCTCGGCGAATTCTTTGGTTGATTGCTGCAGGTAGTAGGACGTAAAACCCGCCGCGTCAGCTTTGCCTGCCATTATGTGTTTCCCTGCCAGTTTCAATGGTAGAAGAGGGGGAGAATTGTTCGGTGCTGCGAATCTAGGTGATGATGAGTTCTCACTCGAAGTTGCCTACCTCCAGATCAATTGTTTTACTAAAGGATCCCTAGTAGGTAACAACCTACCCTGGCCTCGCCTGGCCAGCTACCTCCAGCTAAGAGTGTGTGGAATCGGTGGGCGGGCCTGTAGTACGAAAACTAAATGACAGTACGCTTCGAGAAGAGCCGATGTTGCGTTTTTTCATTTATTCTTTACACCGCCTAGTGGGGGCCTAAAAAGTCAGAGGATAGATCTTCGTAATTCTAGTACTAGGTATGCATGTAGTTTGAAAAACAAACGCCAAACGAACACTTGACATCAGCATTCATATTGGTTTTTGCGCCGTGCGCCAAGTAGCTGTCGCTACGGCATGGCTTGCGACATGTGCATCTCGTGCAAAATCTCAGGGCTTTGTTATAAGTTAGAGTCCGCAATTGTAACAGAAAATAGGCATGTTGCCAGAGTGGTTAATGGGTTAGACTTGAATTCGCTCGAGAATTAAGCAATCTAATGGCTTCGGCCGCGTAGGTTCAAATCCTGCACATGTCGTACTTCGATTATACTTTTTGTCAGTTTCGTCGGATCAATTACAGCTGTTCCAAATACAAATCCCGCACAAGTCATTGAAAGAACATATCGCACTTCTTGTTTCCACGCTTATAATCTGTCACAGGCCATAGATGTATATTTGATGGTCGAAGCGTTGAATTGAGTTTCTAGTCATCTCCGCAACCTGTTTTCCCTCGAATGATTGCGCCGCAGAGACACTCAGGCGCTTAACTCTCGTTGCTGCTGGACTACTACTCGTATGCCAAATTGTTGCCCCCTCGTCGTGTGGCTTGCATCGTGAACCTCCACCGTCCCTGCCTGCACCATCATCCCTGCCTACGCCTTCCACCTCCCCGAATCCTAACCTGCCCAACCGACATAATGCATCTATCCAGTGCTGCAGTACATACTGCGGTTAAAAATATTTTCCAAGGGGTATCATTCGAATGTTAATAACGAGTCCGGAATACCGCGGTGACGAGAGTCGTCACCAATTCCAATTCCAAAGGTCTAAGGGTATATGTCCGTTAGGTAGTCGTCCTGTGATCTATGCACCGCTGAAACAAGACAGTTCTCGTGTACTGAGCTGCTTGCGTGATGCAAAACCCGCATACCGGTAAGTAGACACATTGGGCGGTCTATTATCGTGGTGCTCAAAGGTTCTGTCCAATGCAGTTTAATTTTTGTTGTCCCCTCTCCTTTTCAGCGTCTTGGCTGCTGGCGCCTCCACGTCAAGCTGCGGTTCGATTCTTTGCGAACAGCCCATCCCTTGAAAGCGAGGAGTAGGACAATCCAGGCCATGAGAAGTCCAACTAGTCCCATGGTCACAGTGTAGAAGAACATGGCATCTAAGTCGTAGTGGATCATGCCCGCGACGGTGTCGCCGCTCTGTTGAGCCTGTTAGCAATGCTTTCCTCGACCTGTAGTTGTATAGAGCGAGGTTCAACTTACGCTGGCCATGAATATCGTACCGCCGGAGATCAGGCCGAAGGCTGTGAGTAATTCCGTTGGTGGCCGGGACGGAAGCACGGAGCGCGGGGGCTTCAGGTATAAGAGGACATATGTGAAGCCGCGCGCAAAAGAAGCTCCCGTCAGCAAGTTACCCCACTGCTTGTGGACCATGCTCGAGATCATGCTCTGCTGCGTATGCGAACTCATCATGATGCCAAGCAGGAGAATCACAAGTGCTGGGATCGGGTTGATGGAGAACTCATACTGCCGCGGAGGCTCGAGAGCAGCACGTTCCTCGTCGTTGTAGGCATGGTCTGGATGCGAAAGAACGGCTTCGGTTGTCGTCGTGTTTAGCAGTTCTCTGATGTGAGTTGATTCGATCAGCATGGCGAGCTGTACCCTTTGTTAGTCTGTGATGCAAGGTTGGCTCGATGTGCGCTTCGCAAATAACATACCAAACCGCCTCCGATGAACAAGACGGTGATGGAGACATGCTCGAGGTCCTGAGAGCTGAACTTGGATTCAGAGCTCCCCAGATGCTCAAGAAAGATGTTGGTCGAGCCATACGTGAAGATAAGCGCACCCTCGACGAACTCAGCGCTAGGTCTCCATGCCTGCGATCGCTGCTTGGGGCGGATGTTCCAGGCCTGTCATCACGGTTAGCGTGTGACTGTAAAGTGATGGTGGACGCCAACGAGGCGCCATTGTTACTCACCCATCCTAGCTCTCCGAAGCTACCCGACCACCGGCCCAAAGTCAGAATGCCGTACCAGAAGAATATCCCACCCTTGATCCAATGCGCCAGTCCACTGAAGACCTCATGTCCCTCCTGTAACCATCGTTAGCCAATCCCAAGCACACACGGCATACGGTCAAGCGGCTTACGAAGAAACGCGCGTAGGTAATAAGCCCTGTGCAGAGCGTGATGTATCCAAGGATGAGGATTGTGCGATCTACGAACTCATAACCAAGCATGATGGTTCTCCATGCTCTGTTCGAGATCTTGCCGGCTAGCTTGGCCAAGAACGACCTCGGCGCGTTTGAGGGCTGCATCTCAGCAGGTTTGAACACCAGATCTTCCTCGTCCTCATCGTAATGGGCCCGTCGGTCACTGAGCTCGATCGGCGAGTCGCGACCAGCCGTGGTAGAGAGAGAGTCGCTACGAAGCGACTCCGTATTTCGCTCGGTGCCCTGGCCGCTGTCGTTGGATCCCCGGTATGGCGAGGAATACGCGTCCTGGTGCCTAAGGTGATGCTCGGCCATAGCTTCTGTCGAGACAGGTATGAATGACTGCTCCTCCTCTCTGCCTTGACCTTGGCGAAACGACTCGCTTCTCATGCCAGCGATCCGCCCAACAAGGCCGACGAGAACCTGGGCACCTGTGACCCAAGTGACCAGCCATCCTAGCTTGTGATGTGCGTTGTTCGGGTATAGGTCGGGCGTGTTCGCGTTGTATACAATCCCTACGAGGACACCGATCGCATTCGTGAGGAGGAATAGGAACTGGGCGGCCAGCGTGTATCGTGATCGTGAAATCGAAAGCATAACAGCTACAAGCCCTATGTTAGCAAGACTCCGTGATAATCAAGACTAGAAACGAATCGCATACCTGTCGGAAGCACGAAAATCCAACCGACCACCATCAGCCCAATGTGCGCATAGATTGCCGTTACGTGCTCAGGATGCGCAAAGTATGTTGGAGGATAGGAGTCGGGATCGGGTTTGGGATCCTCGGCCATCCCCCCGTGGCCGCCCATGGCTTTATCGCTACCCATATCCATACTCATTGCGTCTTCGTCGCCGTGTGCGAGAACAGCTGGGAGAGCGCCGACGACGGCTAAGAGGGCCAGCAGCCGGAAGGCTTTTATTGTAGTCGACCGCATGGTGCCAAACTTGGTGATCTGGGGAGGGCTATCTAATTCTTGGTTGGTACACACAGCACTGCCTGCGCCTTGCGCCTTGCGCCGTGCTCTTACCCGGACGATCTTTCCACAATAAATAACAATAACTATAGACTCTGGCGCGAGGCGAACAAAGCCTGAGCGCAACAGCACATGCCTGTCTAAAAGTCGGGTTACTAGCGCGCTAGCTAGGAGCTACTGGTATCCGTTGCTCGGGAAGCCTCCTGCGCGACGACAAAGACAGGGACTTTGTTCTACGTCAGTCTTTGTAGGTTGGGGATTCAGGTGATGAGAGCCGCACTGCACGTTATATGTAGGCGGAGTGATCGTAAAGAGTCTGGATGTTTCGAATGGGCGGGTCGAAACGAAGCCAAGTAGGTATTAATAATACCACGACTAGGTTAGGTAGGCAGAGGCAGGTAGGTCCTACTGGTAGTTGATAGTTGGTAGATGGCAGTAAGTGGTACAAGAACAAAGTCTGGCGATGGAGGGTTGGAAGGTGAGGGCGGGCCTCCACATATACATCGCAGGAGGGTAATCGCAGGAGCGGCCTGATTTAACACCTTGACGGATACAGTAACATCTCGCTTTGCTGGCCGTGCTGGCCGTGCTGGCCGCGCCGACATGCATCCACCTGGGCCGTGTGCGCGCGGTTCCGACGCAGATGGATAGTGCGCCAAGGTGAGCTCAAGAAGCTATCGCATAGCTATGCCTCTGGGCGAGCTTGGGCCGACTTGGAGGCAGCTACCTGCTAGCTCTACTCGGACATCCATGGCATACAATTCCATTCAGGCATAGCTACTGTGGCCTACGAGTACCTCTGCCTCGGCCGATGACAGATTCGCTCCGTCGCGGACTGCCTAGCATCGTAGATAGTGCGTTTCTGGTGTGTTGCGCGCTCTCGGCGGGACGGGGGCACTGACTCATTGAGGGTTTCGCTGATCCGACGATTCCGAGCTGTACCTCTCGCCTCTCGCCGTGCCGACACAAACAGAGGCTGTCACCAGACGAGACAATAGCCACAATAGTCGGTCGAACAAAGAGCCACGGGAGCCGAGCAATGACAGCATCGAACCACACCACACCGACCCATGCGACCCATGCGATGCATGGATGCGGCGCCGCTGCTACCGGCAGCGTTCTGTCTGCACATTGCATGTACAGTACTATGTACTAGACTAAAGAGGTGGTGGATGCAGAAAGATGCAGAGAGATGCAGAGGAGATGACCAATACCATGCGCGCACTTGGCGGCCGCATCCGCAATTGGGCACGGACAATAACGATCGCCGCCACGGGCTTTGGCGCAAGCCTTGCCAGATGAGCCTGGCTCGCCTGGCACTTCTCTCGTCAGCTTGGGGCTCGCTCGACTGCCGGGCCTGTGGACTCTGTGAGGTCTGTCTGTTCGTCGAGGGCTGCGAAGGCTTGCGCGAGCTCCCGCATCTCGTGGCGTTCCTCATCCAGCGAGGTGACGTGATCGGCGCAAGTGGTCAGTCGAGCCCAGTCACATTATGGCATGGCGAGGCATGGTTCGAGCAAGGGTAGCTTGCCCGGCGCTCGCTTTCGCTAGTAAAGTCGGATACAGTACGTAGGTACTGTACGTGGTGGCAGGCTCGGCAGGGTTAGGCTAGCAGGGGTCTAAATAACCACCTGCATGCTGTGTTAGCCAGCAGTGGGCCCCCACGATTCTCTCGTCTGCCGAACGGGCCGGAGTTAAGGGTCTGTCTGCTAAGTTACACAGAGGACAGGCACTTGGGCGCGACAGCATGGGCTCTGCATACTCGTAGGTGCTACATAAGGTATGGTGCCTTCTAGTACTACTACTAATACAGGTCGGAGGTAGGTAGGAATCTGAGAACCCCCGGGCCTGGAAATGGCGGTATAGGTCCGTTTGTCATGTAGGTCTGGTCTTATGAGCAGCATGTGAGATCAGTCCTTTGGAGGCCATTATAAAACACCACTTAATAGTAATCCGATCACCGGTAATATCGGTGCCCTGCAGGTCAATGGTCTGTCCAGTTGACCTGGAGATGTGGTTCTGCATGCGCGACTGTATCAATTCGTGTGCATCCTCTCGCCTCTTATCAGTTCTGCGGAGATATCTTCTCTTTCTGATTTCCCGATTTTCTGAATTATTGATGGGTAGTGG